AAGTACATAACCTTGCAACTTTTGAAATACCATTCAAGTTAAATTACTCTATTCCCTAAAGTCATTCAGTTTTTCTTGGATAATATTCCGATCCTCCCCTGTATTGACAGTGCCCCCAAATTTAGTGTCATCAATTAATTTCATTAGCATACTCCTACTTCCTGTGCAAAACTCACTAATAAAAGATTGAAGACTAGTCCTTGAGAAACTCCACTAGTAATGTCTTTCCAACCTGATAGTCCCCTTTTCAATACATCTCACTGTTGTCTGCCCTTTAGCCAGTTCCTTACCCACCTTTTGGTTCTTGTACTAATCCCCATCCTTTCCATCTTATTTTGCACGTGGGAACATGTTCTCACGTAAGTGCTTTCTTGAATCAGTTTTTAAGGGCAAAGTCCTGCAAAGTGTTCAGCATCTTCTACAGATACTGAGGATCTTCCACTCCTATTATATTAATGGGAACTGAGGGCCATCTGCACCTTACAGCATGTGTGTAGCATTGTATAGGATTGGACCCTAATTAATCATAATGGTCCTTCTTCTGTACTTGATCAAGTGCTTTCTCTTTCTTGCTGCATCTTGGCTCTGAGGAATTTATACTCCTTTGTTAACTGCAAATTTAATGGCTCTACTCTTAATGCAATCTCCTCTTTGTACCTTTGTAGTATAAGAGGTGTGTACCGACTGTTCAATCCAGCTTGTCTGAAAGATAAAAGTTAACCTTTTCAGCCTCTGTTTCCAACGCAGATGCACATTCTCATACAAATTATTTAAAAAAAGCTTAGCATAATTTTATTTGAAAACGGTAATACAGGCTGTCACAATATTATTAACCATTAAAAATAATGTCTTCCCTTTATATTCATGAATTAACTGTTTTTTTAAAAAAGGTAATCCAGTAGGCATTTATGTCATATATCCCAGGCTCTCGTTTTTTGGAATTTTCACAACAAATTTAAAAAGACAGTATTTAAGTTTTAAAAGGTTCTCTTGTTCATGCAACAGTAGCTGCTTTTCATAAAGTTTTTTTTATATATCTTGCATTCCACACTATGCTAGATGCAATGCTATTGATTTGAATGGCACTCTTACTATTAAGATTTACTTGATACTATTTTAGATCTAGTGTAATATAATAGCATGTCACTGTCTATTAGTGTTACATGCGCTATTCTGTTTAATGTGATTTTTCATAATAAAAATGCTTTGTAACAATGTGTACAGTAGTGTTCACCATGCATAAACTCTCGCAGTTGGAATATCTTATCACTGTAGGATAGTACTATGCAAAACCACAGGAAAACATCAGCCCTATTGAAAGTTCCGTCCATATTCCATTGAGTCAAAGGATCAAACAGTTGTCAGGGAAATCATTTGCATTTTCTCCCCCAAATAGCTATATTCATGTTACAAAAAAATACTTGTTTCATTCTTTGCAATTTGTCTTCCAAAATTAATAGAAAAGTATGCTAATATAGTAATGAAAGTGGCCTCCCTAAAGGAGTTTCAGAGAAAATGTGCCCATTTGTTCTTTTTGCTACATAAAAGTCTGAAAGGATGGAAGGAGTGTGAATTGGTTAGTTGATAGTTTATTTTTAAGAGTAATTTTTGCAGTTCTTTTTTCTGCTTGCTCTTTGCCTTTCAAGTATCTGGAATATCAGGTCTGATCTTAGCCTTGCTGAAGCACTTTTTCAAGTCTCAAGAATGTATACTAAGAACATAAACGGTTTTAAATTGAAGGGCTGGGGATCTGCTGTGTATGAGGCACAGGATGCACAAAGCCCCATTAAGTGCTGTGTTAACTCACACATTGTCTGTTGCAGAACCAAACCAAAAAGATTTTCTTCCTTGTGTTTATTAAACAGTGGTTGGGGGAACAGGAATAAAGAGTCCTGATTCTCTGGAATTCAAACCATGGAATTCAAACTACTTCTCTCCATTAATTCTAATTCTCACCATTAATTAGGTTTTTCTTTCTTGATACTTAGATGGTAAGCTCTTTGGGGCAGGGACTTCCCTTTTATTCTGTGTTTGTACAGCACCTAATACAATGGAGGACTGTTGATCCTTGCTATCACAGTCCAATAAGAATAATAGTTTTAAAAAAGACACAGGCTTTTTTTAAAAAAAAACAACCAGTCAACCTTGAAGTTCATCTTATTATACCACAAAGAAATATAAAAAATGCACAGACTTGGGTCCTGACAGAAACTTAGGTGCCTAGCTCTCTTTGAAATCAACTCCTAGTGACTGGGTGTTAGATGCAAAAATAGAAGTTAAGTGCTCTGAATATATTTAAGATGACCCTTAAGCGGAACTCTCTTCTTTTACTGATCACCTTTCAAGATAAAGTGACAGCTGTAACACTCTAACATTTTGGTTGCTTTTGGTTAAACATATGGTCAATATTCAGTAGTAGTTTTGCAACCTTTTGTATACTTGTGCACATAACGCATACCTAATCCATAAGAACCAAAACTTTTTAGTAAAATGTATGGTTCTATTGCAAGCTAATCTTTTATTTTAGGGCTCACAGTTTTGGATCAACTGTTTATTACTTACAAAAATAATTTTCTTCTGTCACAAGCAAAATTTGTTCTGAAGTTTTCACTTAATAATGGGGAATTTTCAAAAGTACCCTTTTAAATAAATAAATAACATAGTAGTATAAATGTATGCAGGTGCCAGTCATTTCATTTAATTTGAAAAACTCCTGACTTCACATTTCTAGATGATGCAGATGAAATTGATTTCTGTACTACATAATTCACATATGCACAGTTCTAAAGTTTGCTTTTGCCTGTGCTGTGCTTGTATGTCTGTATATACAGGATAAGAGTCTTGCTCAGCAATTGACATAATTATTAACATAAAAAAATAGAGATTTTGAAAGATTAAAATGGCTCAGACTAAAGGTATGCAGTTTTTAGAGGAACCGCCAATCCTGTTCCTGAAGGAGATGTCATTTGGGGGCTGCACAGGGCAACCAACGGTAGCTCTGTCTGTTTTTTGTAACTATAAAGACTTCTATGGCTTTCAGAGGCATGCTCTAGGTTTACTTGAAATAGTCTGTCTGATACCAGTGCCTCAGGCATATGCAGCATAAGTGGTAGTGCCATGTGTTAACATGGAATTACCATTTGTTTACAGTCTTGAGTCACTGAATTCATTCTGTCATGCAGAAGTGTTCATTATAATATAGGCACTTACTGTCTTGCTACAGCCCACTCCTGAGTGACATCAAAAAAGAAGTCAGTATTTTATTCTCGTAGGCCGTAGACTTCCTAAATGGTCTGTGGATCCAAGGCCCCAGGCACTGAATGTTTCATAGTAGCATCATGGTTTGGTCTTTTGGAGGAAGAATTCTGCCTCTTGCAAATTGTGGAAATAAGACGGTTGTCACATCCTTTCATAGTAATGTCATCCCTCATGTGCTTTAGTGTAAACTCTCCTCATTCAAATAGCTTGACAATGTTTATACTTAAAATTATAGTTTTTATTTCTGTGCCGTGGCTCTTTATTTAATATTTCTTTTGTACTCAGTCACTGAAATGGCTGCTCTGAAACAAGGCAGTGCACGGGGCAGAAGGATTATGTAATACTTCACTTGTCTATGATGTTTGGCACTTCATAGCTTTAAGGAAAGAGCAACCCCTACAGGCTGTCCTTAGACCATACTTACGATTCCAGAAATAACCACCGGATTTTCATTTTGTCCATTAAAAAGCTTGGCAGCTAAGCAAAAGGAAATGACGCTAAGTACACACAAATCTGTGTCATGTTTTTGTATTTCTAGTATTTAAAATGAAAAACAATCTGAGAATAATCTGTACATTTTTAAGGGTAAGGAATAAATATCTGTCTACTGCCGTTTATACCACGGTAGGCATCAGTGATTTCTGAAAGCCTAAAGTATATTTTTGTTGTCTAACCTGAGGTGGTCCTCAAGTTGCTTTGGCTGTCAAGAGCAGATGTGTCTCAAAATCAGCAGTGAATGAAAGTCCTAGGAGACATTTGAGACTTGCTCTCTTTTCTCCTTAGGCTGTGGCAGGTTGATTACTTGGCAGTTGCCATCTTGTAGAAGCACAAGGGTTGCTGCTTGGCCATACATACTTAACGCTATGTTGAGGGTTGAGATGTGACCCAGAGAAGTGGCTCTCAAGTGTCATTCATCAGTACAGTAAGCATCTGCTTTACCGTATAATAGCGTTGAAGGGGCTGACCTAACATTCTCAGCCTCCTGGGTCTGAAAATTTGGACAGTGTTTGAGCTCTTCATTGTTTCAGGGTAAATAAACCGGAATTTATATAGAGTTCACTTTTTATGAGTCTTTTGAACGAAACGTTAAAAGTGGGTTGTATCCGATTTGCATGGACATTAAAAGTACCATGGCATTCTTATTTGTCCTGGTGCCTTTTTGTGTATAATAAGACTCTCCATTCACTTATCAGATCTCACAGATACTCCCCACACCTCTCTCAGTCCATGTATCCATTTTGGTTTTTTATTCTTGCTTTACACGTGGACATTCAAATCCACTGATTCAGTGTAAGATTTTTTTTTATACTGTTGTTGTTAGTCATTTCTGTATTGACTGAATTTTTCATTGGTAATATTTTTGGCAGCAGTCCACGTCTGCCTGGCTGGAGGCCAGTTCAAGCTCGGCAGGATGAGCCCTATTGTTCAGCAGACTTGGATTTTGTTAAACTCTGTAACAGAAATACGTGTCAGGAGATTTGCAGCTATAAATTGGATCATGTCAGTGAGGTTGGGAACTCGCTCAATACGAAATTGAACATTTCGGCATGCCTGTTGCTTAATATGTTTATGCATGCTTCCTGCTTGGGTTTAGAAAATGTGAAAAAGGAAGACCTGTTGCGCTGTATCTCTATTGCATACTGTTGGTTATTTTTCTTTGATGTTCAGTGGTTCAAAGATGCAGCGGTGTTTGAATTGTACATCACACCATTAAAGGGAAGTCATTTCTCTTTGTTTTGCAGGCAGTCAGATGCCACCTCAACCTTCTGGCAGCCAGTCAGAATCCAGCTCCCATCCTGCTTTGAGCCAGTCACCAATGCCACAAGATCGAGGTTTGTGAGGTGTTTTACTTTGTGCCAAAAGTTTGTTTCATTCTCAGCAGCATGTGGACATGATAGAATTTCCCTTGCTTTTGCCTAGTAAAAAAAATTATAGTCTCTATTGTAACAGACTGTGTGTGGGGGTTCTGGGGTTTGGAGGGGGTCCTTTCCAGGGGGAGTGAATGAGTAGCAGGATTTAACCAAAGCACTGTTGCAAGCAAGGCGTTCTTAAAAGACTGTCAACAGCATGAAAGACTGTACTGCGGAGTTTTAACTAGTGTTCTTGAGAATCCAAAACAGAAGAAACTTGATGGTTATTTAACATGAAATTTGATCTCTGACCAGCTATAGGTAGACATTCAAAATCCCCTTCCATTTAAAGAGCGAAATAGACTAGTTGGGTCAAGTGGTCTACCTCCCTCCTTTATCATCAGAAATACTGGACCCTAAACACATTGTTGATAAAACTTTGCTAGCAAGAACTCTGTTTGACTAGGGCTATTTTAGCCAGCGCAGGTTCATTCATCAATGAATGGGATAAATCTTTATCTTAGGGACAGGGATCTTTATCTTTTAACTGTGTTATATGTAACTGCCCTAAGAGGGGAGTTTATTACAGTTTCATAACCTGATTATAAGATAAAATAACTATGGGCTATTTTCATAACCTGATTATAAGATAGAATGCAAGTGAACCAAAGGCCTTGTTTACACAACGATTGAAATGCACTGTATTTTTCTGCACATCACACATCCCCACACACCTTGTTTTGGGGAGGCAGAATGGAGAAAGAGATTTTTCCAGAGCCATGGCTGAATACATGTCCCATGTGGAGCAGATAATGGAGTCTGTGCATCAGTATCACTGTCTCACCTTGCAAATTCCAGAGCTTAATACTTAACCAAAAAGTGAAGAGCTGCTGCTAGTTTGACATCAGCTGTGATGGGGTTAAAGTTTGAACTACAGAATAGACTCCGTCCTTGAAGAGTAGACTCCACCTCTCCTGCAGGCAGCTGGAGCCCAATATGGATCCAGCCCTCAGCAACAATTACAGCATCCCTATACCTCCATTCCAGTATGGAAAAGTTTCCTTGCTTAAAGCATGCATCCCAGTTTTGGAGGGCCAATTTTTAGGGAGCAGTGTATGGGATATGCAAGTAAACACAGTACTAGCAACTGGTTAGCAAAGCAGATATGACAATAGGAGATAAAGCCGAATTAATGCTTTAAGTGCTCCCATTAAAGTCACCTTGATATTGAAAAAAGGTTCCTTGTAGTAGGTCCCTGAAGAAAGGCAGACTTGATGCCCAGAAGCTTGTCCAACAGATCTCCCAGTCATGCAGCTGCTCCAGTAAAGGATATCACAAAATATTCTTTACCTCTTGTTTAATTTAGTTGTCATTTACTTTCCAGGTCACCTTTACATACAGTTTTTGTTAGCATAGAGCTTCAGTTCTACCTTAACAATTCTTTAGTGTGATCCATGTCTGGTGGAAGAAGAACAACCTTGGTGCCAAAGACTAATGCAGAATATTGCACGTGACAGGCTGTCATAAGATAGTGGGAAGGGGTCAAAGTGAGGCTTCTGGGGCCCATGCTTCTCAGGAGCTGTGTGCATTTCTTGTGATGGTTGGATCTAAGCATAGCACATGGAGCTGCCCAACTGTATTTATTTCTTCAGTGTTGTGTACCCTATAAGACTTCAGAGGATGGGTTAACAGTGGCCATGGGTGAGCAGAATGCTTTAATTTCCTTGTGGGGGTGAATGTATGGCTCTGTTCTCTACAAGGAAATTAGATGGCAGTCTGTGGTTGAAACCATCATTAAGAACTGGGGGATCAAAACTGAAATAAAGGAAAAGACAGCCGCCAAACCAAAAAGCCAGACTAGCAGACAGAGATGAAAAAACTGGGATATAAGAAGTATATTAATCTGTTCTTCCCACATGGAGGATGACCTGTGTGGGTATAATATAAAGAATATGTTTTCACTTGAATTTGGAAGTATTTTAATAGCCTTTGACTGTTTATATGCAACGTGCTTTGTTTTTCTGTTTTGATAATTTACATTGAGGTTTCTGGCATGCTTCTCACAACAGTCCTTGTGACCCAGCTTGTATAAAATGTCCATTTGTTTCATGCAGCAGATATGAAATTTGTAACTAGGTAGGTCATATTGATTTTGCAGAACATGCTCCCCAAAGCTTCTATAAAGTCTGCCGTACGCACATAAACATGCGTGCATTCCCTTTTGTGCCCTATCATTGATTAGAGGTTCCTTTGAAATGGAAAACTTCACCTTTTAAAAAGGCTGTTACATTAGTTGATTCCTTTGCTTGCTTGAACTGATTTCCACTGAACTTGGAGAAGAGAAGCAGGGGAAGAAGTAGGGACTCAAAGGAAAGGTACTTGTCATTTACTGATAAAAACCTGAGCAGAAAATCGTTGCTGCTGAAGACACCTGATCCGCAGGCGTCTGTTACAGTAATTTAAACGCTTGGTGCACTGATATGAATGTTTTCCAGCAAAAAAACACCAAGAGACCCTCCAGTTTAGGATAAGGTGTTTTTGTTCCGTCTAGCACTTTACATAACATTTCCTTCCTTGTTTGAAGAAATGACTGAATGAACCAAAAGCCTTCTAATGGTTTATTGAATGGAATCCCATACTCTCAACACTCGAAAAATACATTATTAGTCAGATTCTCCAGAGCTTGACTGACAGGGTAGGATCCAAGGTACAGCCATTCTGACTGCTGAAATGCCACACTTAAACTACGTTTACAATTAGTTATTTTATTACGAAAGTGTTTTATTGTATTTTATCCTCCTTTTCATGGTTACTCAGCACCCAGCTGGGATTTCTCATGTTTGCCAGCCTAAGGCTATACATCCCCTATCATAGAGTACAGTATCAAGCGACCAGGCATTTTTATATGTACGTTTAGTGTGTGTGTGTGTGTGTGTGTAGCAGTAGGAATTTCTAGGGGTTTAGAGTTTACCACGCCTTTAAATTACTTTTGATGTAGTTTATCTTCTATTTTAAATGTAGTGTAAATGCTATTTGTATTTTTTAAATGATTTTGAAAATCTTTCATATCTTATTGAGGCTGCAGCTTATTTGTACCTGGCTCAGGATCAGCAGAAGCAGTTCATGCAGCACATTTTTATTTGCATTCCTGGGTCTGCACTTATTTAGATTTGATACTAAGACACTGGAACTTTTCCTGTTTTTACCTAACTGTTACCTACACAAGTTGTGCTATTGTGTGGAAGTAGCTGCTGCGTATCTTTTCTTATGGAAACTTCATTATAGTAGCAATCATAATTTTTTTCTGGATATCTCAAATTATGTCCTCAATCATTGTTGGGGTTTTTTTTTCCAGAATCACTCCAGTTTTGCATTCGTATAAATAAGAACAGGATTAGGTCTACTTCCATGCAGTAAAATTAAAACTCTTTGCAGACACTTAATTGCTTTAATTTCCTTTTGCTTCTATGTGATAGTGAAGTAAATAGTATCATACGTATTTTATAAATGCATGAACTGAGGGTAAAGGCCAATTATCTACCAATTTTGGGTGTCTCTGTTTTTAGGTGCTTCATTTTGAGAGGCACTGAGCATCCCATTAGAAGTCAATTTAGGCTGTGGGCTTGCAACATTTCCAAAATCTGGTTCCATTAAACTGGCCACGCAGTAACTGACGCTTTCAAAATCAGCTGCACCTTTTTTGCAAAGTTGGCTGGAGGCTATGGTCAAATATACCACTTTAAAAAGTGGGAGAGAGCTACTGCAGGAAAGATATATCAGCTGTTAGAAAGTAACTGTTATGTGTGCCTGATTGGCTAAATCACTGTATCTTTAATCCGGAATGAAAGAATGTTCAAGTTACAGTGGATTTGCAGAAACTGTGTTGCTACAGAATCACGCAGTTGTAACAGTTGCATCATAAAAGGTAATACTGATATGGGTGGTTATCAGTGGCACTATTCTATCTGCCTTCTACCTGAAGCATCTTGCTCAGTGTCATAATGTAAATTAATTCCAGAGCCGGGACTAGACAATTGGCTTTCCAGCCATCCATCCTTTGTCCTAATGCGGTGGTGAGCAAAATGCATCCCACAGGCCAGATGTGGCCTGCCGGGCTGTTCTATCTGGCCTGCGGGGCCCTTAAAAAATTTAGAAAATTAAAATTTATCTCCCCTGGCTGCCTGTCATGCAGCCCTCATTGGCTTGCCAAAACTCAGTAAGCGGCCCTCTGCCCAAAATAATTGCCTGCCCCTGTCCTAATGATTAGCTCCCACACACTCTCTTACCATAGTCTAATAATTTTAGCGTGTGTACATGCACATGCATACAAGTCAAATGGAAAATTCTGCTTTATCACAGTGTTGAATTTGACTTTTCTTTTTAGCTCAACATACATTCTTTCCTATACACTAACAGAGCCGACAACACTCCTCTACTCCAGGTTAATGTTTTTTAAATGCTCAGAGTTCAAAATTTGAGTCTTATTCATATTAAAATAGTACACTGAGAACTCCTGAAAACCATTGAATATAATGGAAACAGTAAATAGCTTCATACCATTATTCTCACAGATATTCTCGTAATGGGGATACTTAAAGAAGCCTTATTTATTAGGGCAAATGTATATGGGTCAGAATTAATTTTTAAAAAATCTTTAATTGTTTTCCCGTTATAGTTTTCACAGCAGTATGTAGTTAAATATTCATGATAATGCTGATGATATGCTAAAGGTCTGAAATAGATCTGGAGTCTCAAAATCAACACAGGTTATTTAACCCTTTTCATCTAATGCACCATCAGGGACTTGCTCAGTGAAATCCCAGAGCACAGGAATAATTAGAAGATAGTAATGAGGATTTAATTAGTCCTTGAGATATGCTGAAATAGGACCACTGAGAACTTTTCTGTTTGGACATGGATTGCAAGCAGAATTGATGCCATTGCCGTTGCTGTGATGTGCCGGAAAATGTATTCTGTTGCTG